TCAACTCGGCTGGGCAGCGTTCGGGAAGCTACGACACATCTTCTCGTCAGACATACCTCAAAACCTTAAAACGAAATTGTACAACCAGTGCGTGTTGCCAGTGATGACTTACGGAACTGAGACGTGGTCCTTCACTGCTGGCCGTATGAGGAAGCTCAAGGTCGCTCAGCGAGCTATGGAGAGGGCTATGCTCGGAGTTTCTCTGCGTGATAAACTTAGGAATGAGGATATCCGCAGTCGAACCAGAATAACCGACATAGCCCAACGAATTAGTAAGCTGAAGTGGCAGTGGGCCGGCCATATAGCTCGAAGAACCAACAACCGATGGGGAAGAAAGGTTCTCGAGTGGCAGCCTCGTACCGGTAGGCGAAGTGTAGGGCGTCCCCCCACGAGATGGAGTGACGACCTGGTAAGACATGCAGGAAGTCGATGGATGCAGGTGGCTCAGGACCGTGCTTTGTGGCATTCTTTGGGGGAGGCCTATGTTCAGCAGTGGACTTGTGAAGGGCTGTAATGATGATGATGATGTTTTTCTAACCACAGTTTAATGTAATACATGACATCTACACTATATAAACATTGCATTGTGCAAATTTACAATTTCATAACGACAAAATACAAAAACGTATACTTACCAAGGGAAATACTCCAACGACTTCCACAAACACGCTTTCTTACAGTGAATCTAAAACTGACGCAATATTATTTGAGTTTTGCTCATCACCGTTAGTTTACTTCGAACTTCACACTGTACTACGCGTGTAGTTCAAGCTCAAAAACATACTTTAGCGGTTTTATGTAAAAATTTTAGTCTTTTAGTTTCGCCAGGTGAGGTGACATAATTGTAACGGGACGTTAAAATAAGATATTTTTTTTATATTAATAAATATTTTTACAATGTATTTTTATAAAATATGTTTCGATGTTTATTTAGGCGTATGATCATGTGAAAAGAAAACATAATGGTTTAAATATATAATACATATGGCCATAAAATTATACGATCTAGTAATGGGGCAGGCCAGGGGAGTATACATTTATAACTATCTTAAGCTATTAATGCTAGGCGTGTGTATCTCTTTACGGAAACGACTCACTGATACGAATCACTGAAGTGACACAAAAGATTGGTTCAGTAACAACGTTTCAAATGTATCATTTTTATCTGGAACAGTGAAACATTACTTTGCTCTTTGCTCATTTCGCGCGACGCGTCGCTTGCGAGGCGACTGAGCCACGAGCGAGAGAGAGAGACTGAGACAATGATTAACTTAACTATTGACTCACGAGTGGCGAGTGAGCGGTCGAAATAATTATAATTCACACAAGTCAGATAGAGATATCAAATAAGAAGTGTATCACTCAACTCGTACGGATTTTCGCTGACGTTATTCATGCACGTAAAAATTACCACTAAGGCGCTTATGTGTCAAATACTATACGGTCGTTTTTTGTATGTAACGTTTGCATTAACAAGTTGTCATTTTACGTTGATGCGGCACTTGTCAAATTGTTTATATTCATTAGCGCCTGTTTAAGAAAACATACTGAGTTATGTTTAGGATTTCTTTGCGTAGTGAATATTGTGACATTACTTTCTTCCTTTTCATTATAAAGTTTAGAATTATGATACTTTACGAGAAAATTCTGTGTACATAGACATTGCTGTTTTGTGTAAATGGACATTTTTGTAAATAATGAATTGACATAGTGACACTTTTGTTAAAGTATGAAGGAGAATCGATTTTATATACAATCTGATTACGGTACACAATAAATAATCTAAGCACTTATATTATTCAGCATTGTTGCCACATAACATTTAACGGATCAGTCAGTAATAAACGCCCGCGACGCAACTTAATGTATTCGCAACATTCTTTCTTTTATATCTTTTGAGTAGATGATACAAATGAGCCAAATGAAACATATCAGTGTTTCGGAACATTTCAGTGATCAAGATGCAAATGTTCCAATCCCAAAAATGATACACTTTGCCCACCTCCAATTAATGCCTTAAATTAAACAATTATTTTGAATTGACTGTGTGGGCCAAATAATAGACGATATTCTTTATTGCTTAAGCATACAGTAACAATAATATATTATGTTTAACATAAAATTTGTCTATGGACCGTTGGAATTCAAATAGCGTATATTCACCCTTAAACATTAAAATGCATTACTTAAGTCCTCCATCTCCATTCCATCATTAGACCACTGGGAGCTCGGCTAGTATTCACCCCTTTATTGTCGACATACCACACATTTTATACGTGGTAAAGCCATGCTGCAGCTAAATTAGTAGTATAGTTTTAGCACGAATGGGTCGGCTCGACCGGGGTAGGACCACACTCTCACAGAATACCAACGTAAATTAGCAGCTTAACGCTGCTGTATTTAGTATGGTGAGTGTAGAGAACCGGAGACCCTTTTTACTGGAAAAGAGGCATATCCATCTTAGTGCTCACGGGTGACAACGCATCTGCATTTTGATTCACAAATGAGAATAGATGTAGATGTCTATGGGCCACAGTAACCACTTACCATCAGGTGGACTGAGTGCTCCTTTGTTACCCTTATCTTATAAAAAAAAAGCTAATACAGTTTACTCCTTAAAACTACACACTAATACTAAAAATCGTAAAATATATAATACATATTGAGGAATTGATAGTTATGTTAATTGGATGGCTTGCCAGTTATTTCAACCAGCATTCAATTGAATGCCTGAGGACGGCTCCGTAAATATATTTTTAAAATTGGAAGTTTTTTTTATATATAGAATAAGGGTGACAAACGAGCACACAGTCCACCTGATGGTAAGTGGTTGCTGTGGCCCATAGACATCTACATCTATTTTCGTTTGCGAATTAAAATGCAGATGCGTTGTCAGCCGTGAGGGCTATGCTGGAATGTCTCTTTTCCAGTAAAATTGGTCTCCGGTTCTCTACACTCACTATACGAAGCACAGCAGCATTAAGCTGCCATTTTACGCTGATACTCTATGGAGAGCGTGGTCCTCCGCCGGTCGAGCCGACATTCGTGCTACAACTACAGTCCCTGGCCATATTACGAGGGCGGCACTGAAAATTTCGGGAATCAAGGAAGTGACACAACATTACTATTTAAAAATGTATTTATTGCTTTTCGAAGTATTCTCCGCGAAATTTGACACATTTTTCCATACGATGGAACCAATCATTGAAGCAACCATTCCATTCGGAAGTTGGGGTCTCCAAAATGGCCGTTTTGTAGGCGTCCACAGCTTCTTCAGGTGATGAAAATCTCTGTCCACGCAATTTATTCTTTATTTTAGGGAAAGTGTAGAAATCATTAGGGCTTAGGTCGGGGCTGTACGGCGGATGGTCTAATAATTCTATGTTTTCTTGCTCTAAAAACTCTTTTGTTCTGTGTGCGGTGTGAGAACTCGCATTGTCGTGATGGAGGATGATGCGGCGGTTGCAATTCTCTTTACGGAGTTCAGAAACGACCTGTGGCAAACAAATGCTAGCATACCATTCTGCATTAACCGTTCTTTGTCCCTCAAGAGGAATAGTCGTAACATGGCCGGTTTTGGAGACAAACGTGACCACCATTTTTTTTGCAACACTCCGTGAACGAACAATTTTTGTTGGCTTTGACTCATTTTCGAACACCCAAACTCGTGACTGGTTTTTTTTTCGGGTTGGTACGCGTATATCCAGGATTCGTCACCTGATACGATGTTGTATACAGCATTTGAGGATCCTGCGTGGAATCTTTCGAGAGTTCTGACGCACCAAGTAACGCGAGCCGCTTTTTGCTCTTCACAGAGCGAATGCGGTATCCATCGGGAAAACAACTTTTTTACACCTAATTGTTCATGCAAGATTATTTGTATTTGACTCATGCCAATGTCTAAAGTTGCCTGAATTTCGCGGTATGTCACATGTCGATCTTTCTCAATCAGCTTACGCACAGCATCAACGTTTTCTTGGGTGACTGCAGTTTTTGGACGACCTTGACGGGGATCATCACTGAGCTTGACACGTCCACGTTGAAATTCAGCAAACCAGCGATAAATTGTGGTTTTGGATGGGGCTTCATCACCAAATGCAGAAATCATCCGGTCAACACACTGTTTTTGTGTTAAACCACTTCGAAAGTCGTAATAAATCATCGCTCTTGAATTTTCTCGAGTCAATTCCATTTTCTCAACGACTAAACAAGTTTGACAAAACCTTGTGACAAGATCGAGAATCTTTTTTTAAATAAATAAATGGTATTCGATTTTTAAAACCAAGGAGTTTTCAATTAAAAAGATTTTAATATGACAGGAACAGTGGAAATATTCCATTTCCAATACTTTTAGTGCAGCCTATGTATTAGACGCACAATAAGATTATATGTAAAATCTTAATTATCAGGTGATACTATACGGCTTTAATGTCTTTACTAGACGCAATGTATATTTTTTTATTATCCACCTTATTATCTATTTATAACACAAATAAAACATCATAATCATATAAAAAATATGACCATAATCATATATTTTGTTGAGCCACCTTTAGCCGCTATGAGAGCTTCAATTCTGCACGACATGCTATCAATGTTAGACTGTACTGTCTCCTGCGTTTGATGATGATGATTCCACACATGAATAACCTTTTCTAAGAGTAGAGTTTTGATTATGATGGCATCTTTAGCCACTTCTCTCTTCATCAGCCCCCACACATTTTCAATAGGATTCATATCGGGACTATTACTGACTATTCATATCGGATATATTACCCAGTCAGTCCAACTGAGGGATATTTGGCTCTTCCAAAAAAACCCTAACAGACAGTGCTGTGTGACAGGGAGCTCCATCTTGCATAAAACTGAATGGTTTCACATTCGGAAACCATTCTCTGAGCTGCGGAATCAATCGATTTTGTAAAACTTCTTTGTACTCATTATACCTTTTGCCACGTACAGACGTCCAGTACCCCTGCCACTGATGACTGACCGGATCATCACTTTTGTAGGGTGCTTAACAGTCTGAACGGCACAGTCAGGTTGAAATTTTTCTCCATGACGACGACGCACAAACAGAGCTTTATTCTGCTAAATTTCAAATGTGCTTTCAGCGCTGAAGCAGACCTGTTAAGAATAGTAAAAATTAATAAACATCCTAAACATCTGTGCTGATTTTTCTTTATTTCATAGAAAATTATATTAAATGTATCCTTTGTGATGAAATTATACTAATATACAGATCTGCAGAAGTCCTCATCTTTATCACGCCACTGTTTGGCTCACTTTAGATGCTTTGCTTTCATTGCAGCTGTTAACTTTCTGGCGCGGCGGCAGGTCGTAAAATCTAAATCTTTTAATTTTGTTCGAAGAGTGCGCTCAAAAACATCCACATTAGCATCTTGGAGTTGCGATTTTATCAGTTTTGTGCCTGCAAATCTGTTTTCCAGGCAAACTTTAAACATCTTTCTGTCCTTGGAGTAAAAATAGGCTTTCTGCCGCATCTTTTCTTTTGTTTCGGGCTCAGTTTATCTCCTGACTCAATTTTCTTCTTTATGCGTTATACGCTAGCTTCAGAAACCTTCAATCTCAGTGATATTTCGCGGTTAGAAAACAATTTAGCATTTACGAGGGCCTTTTCTTCAGCTTTCTTTATGTGGTGAAAGATCGCCTTTTTATCCATGATTAAAATGTTCCAATTGATTATTTAAACACTGTACACTAAATTAACAAATAACTGCGTAGTATGTAACTGCGAAACAAATAAACACAACGCATATAGCCACAGTAACACGTCAACAACTAAAGCACGCGAGAACGCGACTGAAACGGATTTGTACTTGTTTACGTTCGTGTGTCATTTGGTTATCGTTGTAATGCAATACATTTAAAATAAATACAAATAGGAAATATATAAAACATCTCCTGAATAAAAACACATTACATGTATATTTAAATATAAAAGTATTGCATATAAACTCGTTTAAAAAACTACCATGCGTCTAATAATTTGGCCAGGGAATGTATACTATTGATATAGCCGCAGTATGGCTCTACCACGTATAAAATTCATTGATTTACTGCAATTGTAACACACTTATAGAAAACTATCAAAATTAATATGAATGTCATTATCTCAACAGGAAGTCACGTGACTTAACTTTAATATTATTTATTGTAAGTCAACTCTTTAGAATAGAGAGAAATTGAGAAACTTAAAGGAATAAAAAAAACCAGCAACTGTTATTCAGCCTTACAACAGTTTTGTATGGAGCAAGCTCGAGTATTGCAGCACAGTATGGTGTCCTACTTATAAAACTCACATCGAAAAAGTTCAAAAGAAAGTAATTCGTAGCTTAACTTCGTCATCATCATCATTACAGCCCTTCACAAGTCCACTGCTGAACATAGGCCTCCCCCAAGGAATGCTACAAAGCACGGACCTGAGCCACCTGCATCCATCGACTTCATGCATGTCTTACCAGGTCGTCACTCCATCTAGTGGGGGGACGCCCTACACTTCGTCCGCCGGTACGAGGCCGCCACTCGAGAACCTTATTTCCCCATTGGTTGTCGGTTCTTCGAGCTATATGGCCGGCCCATTGCCACTTCAGCTTACTAATCCGTTGGGCTATGTCGGTCACTCTGGTTCTACTGCGGATATCCTCATTTCTAAATTTATCACGCAGAGAAACCCCAAGCATAGCCCTCTCCATAGCTCGCTGAGCGACCTTGAGCTTCCTCATCCGGCCAGCAGTGAAGGACCACGTCTCAGTTTCATAGGTTATCACTGGCAACACGCTTAACTTACCGTTTTAGTAATCCAAGGAATATCAAAACATATAGTGAAAAAATCAGACTAATTTCTTACTCCATCACAAGTCCACTGCTGAGCTTAAGCCTTGTTCAAGGAATGTCTCAAAGCACGGTCCTGAGCCACCTGCATCCATAGACTTCCTGTTTCTCTTATTACGTCCTCACTCCATCGATGAGGGGCCGTCCTACATTTCGCCTAATAGTACGAGGCCTTTTGTCATTACGTTCACTCGAGAACCTTCCATCCTCATCGGTTGTCGGTTCTTCGAGCTATACTCGTATGGTCGGCCCATTGCCTCTTCAGCTTACTGATCTGTTACGCTGTCGGTTACTTGAGTTCTATTAGATATTGTCCGACTAGCTAAGTTTAATTTCGACCGAGAGGTCGATCGCGGATCCAGTTCCGCTGGGCAGCGTTCGGGAGATTACCACACATTTTCTCATTACGTATGTACCTCAAAACTTGTAAAGAAGAGTGTACAATCAGTGCGTGTTGCCAGTGATGACATATGGATCTGAGACGTGGTCTTTCACTGCTGGCCGCATGAGGAACCACAGGGTTGCTCAATGAGCTATGAAGAAGGATATGCTCCGAGTTTCTCTGCGCGGTAAACTTTGTTATGATATCTGCAATTCCTTACTTATTATTGTAAAATTATTTACTGTGTAGAGTAAAATTACGCGTTTTTTCCAGATTTCATGCCACGATGGACTATCGTAGTACCACCCCACCGCACTCGTCTAGCCAAGCGAGCTCCAGTGTGTTGATCCCCGAATCTCCCGGTAGCCCTAACTTGCTCGACTCACCATCACCGAGCAGCCCACAACCACCATGGAACGACCAGCCCGAGCAAGACTCTGACACCTTCCCTCTACCAGACGCGGTTGCACAGAGTCCTGCTATCAATGACAACAGTAACGACTCTGCGGCAACTGTGAACTATGACGCGGAAAACAGTAACAGCATGTCACACACGTGGCGACGAACTGACAATATAGATCTAAACGATGACAACTCAAATTCGATACGACCACAAAGTTCCCAGTCAGATTTAGCAGCCGTACACTCCACCACTGAGGAATCGAACAGTTTGATGTCCATGCCAGAGGTGGTGATACGAAAAGACAAAGATCTTGAAGAACCGCCTGCCAAAGTTCGTAAACTGAGCACGCCGAAACCAAACGACGACATGGATGGAGAGACTTGTCCCATCTGCTTAGATTCCTGGGGCAATTCCGGGGAACATAGGCTGGTTGCGCTAAAGTGTGGACACTTGTTCGGAGCACAATGTGTTGAACGGTGGCTCAAGGCACAGACGTCACGGGAACGTTCGTGTCCGACCTGTAAAAGCAAGGCAGCGCTAAAGGACATCAGGTTTATTTACGCTCGACGCTTGGTAGCGGCCGACTCTTCACAGATCACAGCGCTGCAAAAACAAGTGGAGTTACTCCAAACGGAAAAGAGCAGGGCCGAATTGGAACTTCAGAAGTGTAGGATAGCACACCGTGCTTGCGTTTTACAGCTGGAAGTCTTAAGAAGTACGTTGATGAAGTCTCAAGTTGCGAAAGAACAGCCAGTGAGGAAAACATGGAGGTTTGCGCTGGAAAAGAACTTGGAGATTTGCAAAGATGGTGGTTGTCGTGTATTAACTTATAATTGTCGGACTTATGAACTGTATGTGTCACAGAAAAGTGTCAACTATTTGTTTCCAGGTTACGGAATACGGAAAGTGAGTTGCGTTGATTACAAATTAGGACAGTTCGTTCACTTACATCCCAAACCAATACGGGATATAACCTACTCACAGCCTAGGGACTTGTTGCTTAGTGTTGCATTAGATAGCTCTGCGAGAATCGTTGAAAGGGGAACCCCGAGCGCTACAATTCAATGTGGAATGCCTTTATGGTCCTGTTCATGGGATTATTTACGCAGCAATGAGTTTTACGTAGGCGGTGTTGGAGGAGTAATCCACCAGTATGATGTACGCAACCATAACATGTACATTCAAAGACTGACAGCTCCTGGAGACATGTCACCAGTGGTATCATTATGTTCGACGGAATTTGGTCTGCTGTCGTGCCAGTTGAATTCTTGCTGGCTATGGGTGGCTAACATGAGGCAGTGGGAGCCAAGAGCTCTGCCAGTAGATGGTCCCTTCATGTCCCTGTGCTATGACAGTGAGTCACACCGAGCGTTAGTTTCCTGTAGACCTGGAGCAAATGGATCGGAGAGATCCAGGCTAACGTTGTGCAAGCTGAAGGCGAGTGTTCCGAGTGGAGAAGTTTTGTTCGAAACTGAACAGAGCTTCGCCGGGTCTGCAAGGTCTACATTAATGTCTCGAGCGTCTTGGGTCAGGGCGCCAGGTGCTTCCTGGGTGGCAGCGCATTCTGAAAGTGATTCAACATTGTTCTTACACGGATTAGACGGTGCCAGGACTATGTCGTTACCGGCTGCTGAGCCAGCGTTAGATGTGTGTTCAGTGCAGTTGAACGGTGACACAGTTGTGGCTGCATTGTCTGAATCTAGGTTAAGACTTTATAAGGCCGTGCCAACAAACTCATGATATAGGCTTGAGTTTTAAATTTGTAATTTTGTGTAGTGTTTGGTGTTGTACAGTTGATGACTGTGATTATAAAATGTGAAAGAATATTAGTGTCAATGAAACATAAATCACTCTAGTGACATATAAATATGTGTTGTAAATTAATTAATCTGTAAATTAAATAACAATTAAAAGCAATGCAATTAATATTGTAAATTGTTTGTTGGGAGTCAACATAAAATTGGCCAACGCTTAGTGTCAAAGTGTAAATTTACAGTAACATATTTGTATTTTATGTTATATATGCATTACTGTATAAAGATGTACAATTAATTAAAATTACCTTGGCCAAAAATTATTTTAAAATTGTAAATTACTTGAATTGTCTATGAAAGAATGCCTTGAAGTCTATGACATTGGGAGTTGAAGAAATAACTACTTGATTGTCTAAAATCATATAATATAAAATAGCATAATGCTGTTGTTAAACATGTTTAGAATTCGCTTCTTAAAGTAGGTATGGAATATAAAGAAGGATAGAACCAACTTCCTAGTAGATGTAATAAAGTTTGTTGTCAGACATGCAGTCTCAGTATTTGATATAATAATAATACATCTTCTTTCTTTCTTGAAAATTGTACAGTTTAAAAAAAAAACATTGTTGTAGGATGTTACCATTACTGCCATTGGAAGATATTATGAAGCATTTATTTTGTAAATATTTAACTTGTATATTTGTATTTTTAATTATTTGATTTTTGTGATTTTATTGTTTTTTTTTTGTTCAGAAGATGTAGATCTAGACGGTCTTGTTACGAAAACGTTTTTACAGATTCTCTGATTTAAACTATATTTTAAGGGAAGTTTTTTCATGAAAGATGTCCATTATCCGTGGCGCCACCTTCTCGAAGGTGTCCAAAATATTGAAGATTTGACATGTGCCGTCAAATTTCCACGCGACTTCTATCGTGAAACAGATTCTATTTTAAACCGAACTCTATATACCTACTACTTTTTGTAATAAGACTGAGATAGTTTTACTGAACAGTTTTCAAATTTTGGATTGATATTTATTTAAATTAAATGCAAACTGTTATTTTATGTTAATGGTTTTTATTTTAATCTTGGCTGAAGGTTAAAAAGCC